CTTTGACCTAGGCCATTGCCTTAGTAGCTTTGGCCCAGGGCCGCCCCCTGATACCTATGAAGCACAGACACTTCTAGTCGGGTGCATCTTATCGGACACTAACTCTTCTAAAAACATTCTTAAGACAAGTGCCTGACTCGCCACGCAGAATGTCCTAATGTGTTCATTTTCTGAATGTCCACTTCCCGGGTATTGGGTGCTATACGAGGTCATTTACTTGATATTTCTGTGCCCATGTTTCTTGGCTTCATTTTTAAACAGAGTTGAGGAGGTCTTTTCTGCTTCAGATCAAAGCCTCTTCATCAGATGAGACATCTACCCCCGTTGATGCTAATGAATTATTTACTGATCTAAAGGAAAAGGTAATTACACTCTTCTTTTTTCCCTTTTTTTTTTTTTTATATATAATTTTCATTAAGAATCCAAGACACTATTCAATGTCCCCTAATTCAGCATAGCTCAATTTTTTGTGCTCTTTCAGCCATGATTTAACAACTATTTACGTCTAATTTTCTCTACTTTCCTTCTGTCAAACTTTTACAGTGGGATGCTGTTGAAAACAAGTCGACTGTACTTCTCTATGGAGGTGGTGCAATTGTTGCGGTTTGGCTTGCTTCCATTGTAGTTGGTGCAATAAACTCAGTCCCTTTGGTAGGTTTTTGATGAAATGAAACTTTGTTTTTGTATCTAGTTATGAATGATGGATTTTATGTATGAAAGTTCGCCATTCTTTCTTGGTTCTAATAAGGAATCTAAAATCTTATTTATTCATTGACGTTTTATTTCAGCTTCCAAAGATTATGGAACTGATCGGGCTTGGATACACAGGGTGGTTTGTGTACCGTTACCTTCTTTTCAAGGTTTGTTTTTCAAAGTACTCGCCGATGACATTTTTAAATTTTCTACCTATAAAAAAAAAATCTGATTGGACTAAATGAGAAGCCTCATCTTATAAGACGAAAGGATTTAAAGGAAATGAACGGTTCTTTTTGGTCAAATACCTATCGACAAACTCGTGTTTATATTACGATATTTCATACCAAGCTTCCAAATAACACGCCTAAAGGATGGTTTCAGTTGGGGAGAGGGCCGGGATCTGCTAATATCAGCTCTGAAATACTTTTCTATAGCAAATGTTTACATATACTTATTTATTTCGTGCACATCCTGCATATTTTGGAAGCAGTATTAGAAGGTCACTCTACGCTACAGTGACGAGACTTCAATTTCAATATCTTTTTCTTCATTAGTGCTATAGGATTTGCACTTTCATGAAGTGATGCCACGGGTGAATTGCCTGTGGTACTCTACTTTGTAGATTTCGAGTTGCTGATCAGTGGTAATGTGATTTTACAGTCCAGTAGAAAAGAACTGGCTACAGACATTGAAGCAATAAAGAAGAAGATTGCTGGAACTGCTGAATAAATGCTTGCGTTCTGGCGCAAAATTCGTTCTCTATTCGTCCCAACCTCTGATCAAATTTATTTACGTATTCTGTATATCTTGTTGTGATGTAGAATTCGCGCCTTTCTTCTTTGAATAGTACTCTGTAATCTATTCATGCGTATGACTATACTCGAGCTTTTTTCTCATTTATCAAACGTTATTAACTTTGTGGTGCAGTAGTTCTTGTATTAACCTGTCTCAAAATAAAAACAGATTTGAATGCAACAAATGTAAATATATACAAGACAAAGGATACTTCTCTGTAAAACTGGCTTATTATTTTCTTAATACCGGCTTGAAAGGATAATGGGCTTAACGTTCTTATAAACTTATAAGACAGATCATTTCATGAATGATGTGAAACTTGAAAGTGATCGACAAAATCAACCTGTCTCACGAACACAACGGTTAACATGTGTAAGTAACTAGAAACTTGGGACTCAAGACTCATGAACGAATTCGATACAACCTACAATAGTAGGTGCATCGAGTAACTTTTACATAATGTATCGTTGGCATCAATTTGTACTCAACTTGCTTGTAGCTGTGTCAAAAATGTTTCGAGGAGTGATCATACAATCATACTCGTCCTACTTAATGGTCGATTTAAGTAAAAATAATATTTGTATTCAAATTGAAGGTTGCATGCATTGCTTTAAACTTAAAAGGGGAAGACTTCGAGCACAAAAAAATGGGTACTATAATATTTAATCATCCATTCAAGTGTCCCAAAAAATAGATGTAGCCGAAAAAGTGCGTCAGTATGAAGCTAGATACACTTTTGCTAGCAGTAATGGTTTTGTTGGGCATAAATCTTTGATTTCCCAAGTAACAATAAAACCACTCGTACTTTTAAAAAGGCCTAGCATGTGGCTGTAAGGTCCCAAATGCTCCGTCCTTTGGCACTGATTTGGGACAAATATCATTCTTGACTCGGTTTGGGAAAAAAACTAATGGACATTTTCGTACAGCCTAACATCGTGGACATCCAGGAAAGGAACTTCATCGATAGTGAACTTCAGCAATGAGTCACAAGTAAAAGAAAATGGCTGAGTAGGGGCTTAATCAGCATCATTAATGCACAACTTGCCTGGGTATCACTTGAACTAGTCGAGATGACCTTTCAAGTTAAACTCAACCCAGCCCTATTTCAGCCAAGGGCAAATGGAACTGGTGGATTCATTATGCCCATTGATAAACCAGGAGCAAGCATTTTAGGAACATTTCAGTAGGCTAATCGTCTACATATTAACTTTCGTAGCAGAAATTTATTAAACACTCAATAAGCACATGTAATCCTAAGGTGGTCCTAGTTAGGCACGTTCTAGGAAGTCCCAATCTAGATAAAGTGAGACTCCAAATTTTTTTTCTCATGGACATAGCCATATAAAATATTTTTAAAAAAAGAAAAGAAAGCTCTGAAAGATATTTACTCGAGAATTAATACAAAATTCCCAAGTGCTACCACAATTGACAATTAGAAGGGTCCAGAGAAACTATCCATCTATGAGGAATGCAACGTAGAAATACATTTCGATATCACATAAAGTCAAAACATTTAAGGTGCATATACAGAATTCAACCTACTCCCAGTAAGCGACACGATCAATCCAATCCCTGTGAAAACTATAGGCTTAAGTGTATGCCTTCATTAATTTTGTAGCATTGGTAGGTCCAACAGGTTGCCTTGCGATTTGGTGATAAATCAGTTTTAAATTATGGTTTTATTTGCTACTAATTCTTCAGATTTGGTGGAAATATGTGTCTATCACTCTATTGTAATTCAAGAATGTAAAATGAGAAGGGGGAATGAATAGAGGCTTCCCTATCCCCCCCTACACAACTTTTAATTAGTAGTTTTGGAATATGGTCACCATGGACGTCGTCTGCATCGCTAATCTAGGGCTTAATACGAGTAAAAATACTAAAAAGGGGGGAAAATAGAGACCTGATAATCACGGAGGCCAACGAGAATAATATCGCCAGCAGCAATCCAGACCTTCTTGTGCATCTTTCCACGGATATGGCAGAGACGCTTAGTTCCGTCGATGCACGTGGCTTCGCATCTGCCGTTCCCCAACATACGCAACACCTGGGCGTATTCCTGTCCATCTTCCTTGAAAACGAGCTCCCGTTTCTCGTCATCTGCCTCGTTCTTCCCCCTCTTCCTGTTCTTCCCTCCCTTTCCCTTGTTCTTCGGCATGTTGATAAACCCTAGATCCAACGGCTGTCCTTTTACTTTTCTTTTCTGGTGTTTGATAAATTTGTTGAAAGGGTAGCGGAGAGCTTGTATAATAAGCAGCAAGCCACCATAGCGTTGAAGTTACGTGGGCCTGTCGTGAGGTATATGCTTGTTGGGTTTGATATATGTGTACGAGCCCAATGGGCCGGAATTACAAATAGATAAACTTCATAAGTGGAATAATTTTTTCTTGAAAAATAAAAATTAGCCTAATTGAAATGTAGCAAGTAGGTTTCTAGACCTTTTTTTGGCTTATTATGTTTATAAAGGGAAAATTGTAGTAACAGTCCCTACCCTTTCACATTTTTACAAATTCTACCATAATTTTCACTTTATGCCAATTACAACCTCAAATCTTTGAAAAATATGCATCTGAAGTCTAAATGGATAAAAATCGTCCATTTGACCAGTAGTTAACCATTAAAATTGAACTGTTACCAATTAAAAAAGGTAAAAGAGTAACTTTGCTATTTAAACCCATAAAACAATTAAAATAAATAATTAAAACAAAATAAAAACTATTCACCCCCACCGCACCCCAAATTCTTCATTCCATTTACTGATTTAATCCCTTTTTTTGCTTCTTGATTAAATCCCTCATTCATTCATTAACCAAGAAATTGTTCATAAATACATAGATTCATTGAAATCCCAGTAATAAGAAGCATTTACAGTAGCAGGAAAATAGTGAAATTCGAGCAATTTTCATGGGGAAAACAGGGAGGAACATCAAGGGCTCTTTAATCAATCTAAACCCATTATTCTTCACCCCTTTGCTTTCAATTTCTCTATTGAATTCACTCGTCTTCTTTCCAAAAAAATAAAATAAAAGAATTCAAGAAATCTGAAGAATCACTGTTCATCAGAAAATCTAAATTTACTGTTCTTTCTTTCTCTGCACTTTTCTGGGAATTTGCATTCTCACTTTCATCAGAAAATCTAAATTTACTGTTCTTTCTTTCTCTGCACTTTTCTGGGAATTTGCATTCTCACTTTCATTCCCATTTCTCTTGTGTACGAGCCCAATGGGCCGGAATTACAAATAGATAAGCTTCATAACTGGAATAATTTTTTCTTGAAATATAAAAATTAGCCTAATTGAAATGTAGCAAGGAGGTTTCTAGACCTTTTCTTGGCTTATTATGTTTATAAAGGGAAAATTGTAGCAACAGTCCCTAATCTTTCACATTTTTACAAATTCTACCATAATCTTCACTTTATGCCAATTACAATCCCAAATTTTTGAAAAATATGCCTCTGAAGTCTAAATGGATAAAAATCGTCCATTTGACCAATACTTGACCATTAAAATTGAACTGTTACCAATTAAAAAAGGTAAAAGAGTAACTTTGCTATTTAAACCCATAAAACAATTAAAATAAATAATTAAAACAAAATAAAAATAAAAGGGAAAAGAAAAACTATTCACCCCCACCGCACCCCAAATTCTTCATTCCATTTCTTGATTTAATCCCTTTTTTTGCTTCTTGATTAAATCCCTCATTCATTCATTAAGCAAGAAATTGTTCATAAATACATAGATTCATTGAAATCCCAGTAATAAGAAGCATTTACAGTAGTAGCAGGAAAATAGTGAAATTCGAGCAATTTTCATGGGGAAAACAGGGAGGAACATCAAGGGCTCTTTGATCAATCTAAACCCATTATTCTTCACCCCTTTGCTTTCAATTTCTCTATTGAATTCACTCGTCTTCTTTCCAAAAAAATAAAATAAAAGAATTCAAGAAATCGGAAGAATCACTGTTCATCAGAAAATCTAAATTTACTGTTCTTTCTTTCTCTGCACTTTTCTGGGAATTTGCATTCTCACTTTCATTCCCATTTCTCAGAACTCGATTCGTTGTTCTATGATATCACCATTATCGCCATTGTCCCCATTTTTGTTAGACTGCTTTCTTCCATAGCTAAAGACTACTCCAATAATCTTCTTGATGACGAGCTGACACTATCTACCAGTGCTATGGTGCCATTGCCTCCACGTGGCTCTTCTTGCAACCTTTCTGAGGAGGAGAGGGAGTTCTGGGATTTGGGCGGTGGTTTGTGGGCGGGGGCGGGGGTTTAAATAGTAAAGTTATTTTTTTACCCTTTTTAATTGGTCAACACTGGTCAAAATTCAATTTTATTGGTCAACTAATAGTCAAATGGACGGTTTTTATCTATTTGGACCTCAAGTGCATATTTTTGAAAGGTTTGAAATTGTGGATGACACAAAGTGAATGTTAGGATAAAATCTGCAAAAAGTGAAAGATTAGGGACCGTTGCTGCAATTTTCCAGTTTATAAATATTCAAATCACAATTTTTAATCATTTTGAATGATGCACAATTATTACTAATTTATTTACCACTTTTATTTATTTATTTATAATTTAAAGCGTTTATTCAATTATTATTTTTGTTTTTGAAAACCTAATTGTCCTTGAAACCATATATCTAAAATTACGTGACTAGTAACCTCCTAACTATGAAGACCACACTTAGATATATAAAAACAACTAGATTACAAAGACAAAAAATTGAAAGTCCCTTTTAATTTACATATAACATGGATAATCTACTTTTCTTTCCAACTTGAATGTTGAAGGGGCTCTAGAAACATTTTTGATTGCAAGCATCAACAATACGAGCGATAGACAAAAATACTGAAAGATCCCAAACACCAACCTCAAACTCGATATTCTTAATGTTCATTGTGAGCATCATGATTGATAATTCATGTAGTCACACTTGATATGTAAAACAAGTAGAAGCGAACATTTTACAAGTTGCTCAATAAGCATGCAATCAACGGAGGAAAAATGGAGGATTG